CTCAGATGTAGGTTATTCTCCCCATAACTTTAAGAAATAATTTCACCACACAATTCTGCTTACCCTTTGCTCTGTATATTTCACATACAAAGATCTCTCCCAAATTTATGTTGAATTATTATTTGGTGACCGCTTCACTGCTACAATACCGAACCAGGGGCATGATCACAGACCAAGGATTCATTTAGACGAATGATTAGTAGTTGAGTTTCACAGAGATGGTGATTGGTCCACTGCCTTTTTGGAGTCAATTGCATTGCCTCACTTTTGAATCTGGGCTTGTGGATGTACTTGATGGACAGGTGAGGTGAGGCTAACTCATGGACACTGTGCTTTCTAATGCTTGTAACCCAGGCTGTCTTTGCCTTCATTATGTGAAGGTGTATTCATAGATCCAGCGTCAATAAGCTCCCATGATTCTTTGTGAATCCATAGAAACTAAAGAAGACTAGAATGGACCTTAAAGGGGAAATTGCCTCGGGTCTTCTGGATGAAAGATAATACTTGTTTCCAGAGAGGGCTCTGGAAGAGCTTTGGTGTAGAGCTACTATTCAGTTATACAAAGGGGTTACAATTCTCTAAGTCAGATTATAAGTCTAATGCTTCTTGGTCAATGTCACCCCTTCCTTTGTTCTCTCCCATTTCACCTCTCCCATCCTTACCCTTAATATACATAGTTGATTTTTAACATACATTGAATCAAATGACCACATTTCTTTCTCCCTTCATTCATGAAAGCCCTCCCTCCACAAAAACTTGTTTCCACTTCTTGTATCCATTTGGATAAAGAGTACATTAGTTGTTCAGAGCCTCTATACCCTTGGACTCCTCCCCCCATCCTTTATTCAGTTTATGCATATACGTATAAAACCATGCACACGTTACCATACTAAGTAGTATTTTAGATCTAGTTTCCACATATGAGAGAAAACATGAGCCATTTTGCTCTATGATTCTGGCTTACTTCACTTAATATGTTTTTTTTTCCCCTAAGTCCATCGATTTTTGTGCAAAGGACATAATATTACACCTCCTAATGGAGAATACAATTCTATTGTATATATGTACACATTTTTCTTGCACTCATCATTTGTAGGGCATCTGGACTGTTACAATAAGTCATTTCATTGTAAATATGTCAAAGGATTTGATAATGTGAAGATCTTCTGGAGGAACTACAAAGAAACGTGCTTTAACTGATAAAATGATAAGCTTGAATCTGATGCTGTTGGTTCATGCCTGTAATCCTTGCTACTCAGAAGGCTAAGATATGATGACCATGGTTCAAAGCCAGCCGAGGCAGGTAAGTTCCTAAGACTCTTACCACCAATTAAACATCAAAAAGCCAGAAGTGGAGGAGTGATAGAGTGGTAGAGAGGTAGATTTGTTCAAAAAATCTCTGTGACAATGCCTAGGCCCTGAGTTTAAGCCCTAATACTGGAAAAATACAAAATTACAGGACAGGATTACAGGTATAAGGCACTGCATCCAGCCTGTACTTGAATTTTTAAAAGCTCTTTTCCTGCTAATAAACATTGTAGAATTTATATAAATGTAGGCAGATAGGAAGGAGACGTAGACGGCATCTACAAGTCCATCTCTGTAGTTCTACTAGACACAATATTGTAGTAACTGACAGGTTGAACAAGCAAATTCCACATAATGTATGTGAGTCCATGCAACTTTGTTTTCCAGTGTTCTCTTCAAAATATCTAGATAGGAATAGATTTTTCTCAAATGCCTCAAGGAAAACTTGTTTTGTCCCATTATTTTTCTGATTATTGCTAATAATCCATTGCTATGTAAATCTGTTGGTAACACACACACACACACACACACTCAAATTGATTCACCAGTCTAAGTAAGCAATTTGAATGACTCGTCTCATATTGTTATACAAACTCTCCTCTTAGAATTTTCTCATCTTGTCCTTGTAACAGTTCACATCTGTTGTTGGAGAAGGAGTGTATTCTGTTCTATTTACTTCCCTGTGTAGCTACTATGCTCCTACTTCTCTGAGGTTGGAGAGAAGTTAGAGATTCAGTGCATAGGGTTTTCAGATTTTACTTTTTGAAGTCGCATGGATGTTTGCAGATGTCTTTGGGTGTCCACTGTGTACTAGGTAACTAAGTGAAACATTCCCTAGGCAATTTCCTTGCTCTGGATTAATGCAAGTGTAACCTGTGTTGTCCCTGCCTCAAACATCAGGCCTGGAGCTGAAACTCAATGCAGGAGGAAGAAGAGCTGACATCTGCTATCTGTCACATGGACTTCTGTCTGGGCCCACCGACACTTCTGAAGAATTGTCTTCTCCCAACTCAGGAATGAAGGTCAATTCCAACATATCTATGAGCTATTTAATAAACTTTTCTCTTACCCGAGGTTTCACATAGTATCACACATTAGTTTACCACTCCCCTACACTGCACAAGATCATGAAGACCTCAGTGTGGTTTCATGGAAGCCCCAGTGTCACTGGCCAGTCAGTTGCCTGTATAGCTTTCTCCCAAATTCCTCTTTATAAAATCTCCCTTCAGCCTGGTGCTGATGGCTCACGCCTATAATCCAAACTACTCAGGAGGCTGAGATCTCAGGATCGAGGTTCAAAGCCAGCCCGGGCAGGAAAGACTGTGAAACTCCTATCTCCAATAAACCACCAGAAAACTGGAAGTGGCGCTATAGCTCAAGTGGTAGAGGGCTCACCTTGAGCTGAAGAGCTAAGGGACAGTGCCCAGGCCCAGAGTTCAAGGCCTACGACCGACCAAAAAAAAGGCCAGCCCAGGCAGGAAAGTCCCTGAGACTCTTATTTCCAATAAACCATTCAGAAAAGAGGAAGTGGTGCTGTGGCTCAAGTGGTAGAGCACTAGCCATGAGCTGAAGAACTGAGGGACAGCACCCAGACAAAGAGTTGAAGCCCCACGACCGCAAACAATAAAAATAAAAATAAATTCTCCCTTCATCTGCAAACCTTTTATACCCTGGATATGAGAGACACACTGAAACATATTCTGGCTTACATAATTCTTTCCTTTGAAATTCTGATGCTTGATAGCTGATATCAAACTAAATGTACACTCATTATCTTAGAATATCAGCTAAAACTTGACCTTAGCATGTCCATTATCAATATGTTGATTTACTGGAATATAATGAACACAAAGCATGCTTGTGCATGGGTGTGTGCACATACACAAGCACACACACACATACACACACACACACATCTGGAAGATTCAAGGTCTGAAATAAGATGCGTAGGTAGAAACATTCCTTGTTTCCTTTAGCTAGTAAGTATTCTCCAAGCCAGTCATTTGTTGTTTTTCTGCTTTAATTACCTTGACTGTAAAATGAAGATAATAACCCTGACCTCAACAATGCGGTTATTGTGAATGTTAATGAGATAATGTATGAAACTTACTTAATAAATTGTAGCCTCCATTATTAACAATGTTTTCATCTCAGGCAATAATGCTACAATCCTTGTTATTAAAATTATAAATGTTCTCTTTATAATGTGTTGGTTTGGCATGTAAGGATATTCATGTGCCTTTAATATTCTTTTGACTATTGTATAATGTTCAGCAGTACAAAGTACAATAATACTCAATGTTTAACTGGATGCATGTATCATTTCTGATGTTTAATCCTGTCATGAAATATCATTTTCAACTGATTTTTATCTGTGAGAATGAACTAAACAGGAAGTTTTAGATCAAAATATAATTATTTATAAAACATAAATTGTATTGAAAAATTATTTATCAAAACTAATACCATTGTATACTATAACATGAAGATTGATTATCTTAATGTTCTGGCCAGTTTAGTACAAGGCTCTGACTGGAATATAAGAAGATTCTTGAAAGATAATTGAAGGCATTTATAGAATGCTTTTTCCCAACAAAGCACAAAAGAGTTCCACAAACACTTCTGAACCTAGGAATTAGCAAGCCTCATTTAAGATTGTATAAGTAAGCCAGGCACTAGTGGGTCTCACCTATAATTCTAGCTACTCAGGAGTCTGAGATCTAAGGATGGAGAGTTAAAGCCATCCTGGGAAGAAAAGTCTATGAGTCTCTTTTCTCCAATTGACCAGCAAAAAAACTGGAAGCCAAGCTGTGGCTCAAGTGTTAGAGTGCCAGCCTTGAGCAAAAGAAAATAAAACAGCTCAGTGACAACATATAGGCCCTGAGTCCTAGCCCCAGTACTGGCACAAAAACAAGAAAAAACAAGATTGGAAAAGTAGAAATCCATTCAAACAGAACGGCAGACTTCCAGAACATAAACACACTGGCCATTCTTTTCAATTGAGAAGGAAACTGCAGTTAGCAGGAACACTGGTGATGTGGGTTGTGGTGACTCATGACTGATACGCAGATTGAGTTCCCTTAATTATTCAAATACTTGTAGTGATTAGTGGTTAAAAAAATCTATTTAAATAAAGTAAATAAAAATTTTGTTCTTCCTTAGCTTATTATATTTTCATTAAATTCTTGAGCATGATAACTGTGAAGTGATATAGTTCACAGTTGATAAAATCAATCACAAGGGAGTATAAATCAGCTAAACACTATTTTACAATAGAGCATATGGTATGTAGTTAGTTTTGACATTAGATGAGAGGCCTAACATATATCAAGAGAAGAAGATACTTAGGCTCTCTTTTCAGCATTTCTGATGGGGGACTATTATGAGGAACATGGCCATGTAATTCAGTTCTCACAATGTAATTAATACCCTGTTTCAGATACCACCTTTCTTAAGGTATGTAGTCATCAAGACTTCTGTCAGAAGTACCTAAATTTAAAATACACTATTTTGGAACAGTCTGTGATACTCTCTGCCCATTTGTCTTCCTCTCTCTTCCTCTCTCACACACATACATACTCATAAGCACATACACAGACACACTTGTCTGTGCTCTTCAAACTCAGAGAGACACGTGACTTCAACAAAAGCAATTATTTCCTCTACAACCAAATAACAAACCCTGGACTGACCTTATAAAGTAGTGGCAATTTTCCTAATTTTAAGAGTGCAATTTGATTTGTTGTATTTTTCATTTTTTTTATCCTTTTTAAATCCTCTCTGGTTCCATAACTCACGTCGATGACTTCAGCCTGAAAAAGAAGAACACACAAAGAGAGATAAAGCCTTTCGGGAAGAAAAGTGTCACTTAACCCAATTAATGTGTTAAAATTATTTGTGGCAAATTGAAATATTCAAAAGAAGACTGACTCTGCCTCTCCCTGTCCTCATCTCAATAAACTTGATATTTCTATCACTACCAGAGAATGATGAGTCTCACAGTCATGTCGGGGGAAAGTTTTAGTCATTTGTGCTTAGCAGTTTCTCTTTTAAACAAATTACAAACTAAGCATATTTCTCTAAGAGACCACAAGGCTTGTTTTGTTCTACATTCATGTTGCTGCAATTTGTGTTATTTTATAAAGCACTGCAAAATTAACTGCCTTAAGGGACAATAGCAATCATATCATTCTCTGGCTTGCGAAAATCCAATGATTCATTTTTTACATAAATTAAATTCAGAGTTCTACTAGCATGATGAAATTATTCCCAACTGCTCATATCCTTGGTTTGCCTGAGCAGATGTGAATATGTGAATGATAACTTCTTGGATTTTGCAGCATGCAATGTGGGAAACCACATGTGCAAGTCTAACATTTCAGTGTATTGGAATATGCTCCCAAGCTATCATTTTGTTGTTGTTGTTGTTGTTGTCGGTTGTGGGGCCTGAACTCTGGGCCTGGGTGCTGTCCCTGAGCTCTTCAGCTCAAGGCTAGTGCTCTACCACTTGAGCCACAGTGCCACTTCCGGCTTTTTCTGCTTATATGGTACTGAGAATTCGAACCCAGGGGTTCATGCACGCAAGCAAGCACTCTACCACTGAGCCTCCTTCCTGCCCCCAAGCTATCATTTTTGTCACAAATCACCACACCTACTATCTATAGTTAAATAATATCACACATTTGTGTTACTCATTTTTAGAAATTCCCTTTTGGTAGCGTAGAACTCTCACAACTCTGTGTTGACAATCAAATGAATCCTCCTGTGGCAAAGGTAGCCCTCTCCTCTTCCCTGGAAAGCTATACTGAACTGCAGGACCTACTTAACATGCATTTCTATTACCTTAGACAGTTCCTTTCAACTATACTTCTGCAATTTCTGTCATCAAAATAGTAGCTGTATGTCTGCCTTCCAGGATATGTACAATGTGTAAAGCAAAACATGCTATTTCAAATTGTATCATTCTGTACATAGACATGTGGATAAAAGAGTGAGTGAGAGCAACACAGTGAGAAAAATGAAGACTTGAGATTTTCCACCCTTCCCACCAAGAACCAATGCACTTCACTTATAGACAGTTATATGCAAAGGGCATTGCTCACATGAGTTCTTTTGTGAAATAAATGTTTCAAAAAGAAAATATGAATACCACTGAACGATACATAAATCTATCTATTGGAGAAGGCATTTCTAGGATGAAATAGTACTTTAGAAGTTGCATTTATCTGCATCTGCAAAAACTAGGAAAATATCAATGCCATTTCAAGTGGTCTCTGCCTTAATGAATTTCAGTTAGCCATTATCCAGTTATATAAAATGTTTTCTACTTTAAACCTCAGCATTATCTCTCCCACCCTCAAGGCCCTCCTTGGACCTGTGTGAGAGGCCTTACGTAGATCAAGAGAAGAAGATACTTAGGCTCTCTTTTCAGCATTTCTGATGGGGGACTATTATGAGGAACATGGCCATGTAATTCAGTTCTCACAAAGTAATTAATACCCTGTTTAAGATACTACCATGGAAAGATCATGTAAAGGGCCCAAGACAAGCTTGTTTTCACCCAACGGTGTAGTATATGGTGTTACCTCATGAATCTCAAGGTGATTTGCAAGAAATCTAGTTGCTGAGAAAGTATCTGTCAGAATGGCTTTTCATTACAACTTTCTTCCTATTAACATGTAATTAAATCAGGTGCCTTTAGTATAATTTTTGAATTTGCTGATGCCATTATCATATAAATAACTGTTGATCTGTGATCTTAAAAGACTGATTACATATTAGTCACATATTAATGATTGCATTGCACAAATGAGAGAGTTCAGATTTTTTTCTTCCCATTCTAAGCTGCCTACTAATTACATTTGATTCAGTGACAGCATCTTCAGACATGTTTCTCAGGATGTTTCTCAGTTGGTTATATTTTAAAAAAAATATGTTTTTCTTATTTAGAAGAGGTTGAGGAAATTCTTGCTGCTCTGGAGGATAAAGGTACGGCTGTCTTCTCCTGTTCCTATCTACCAGAATGACATAGCCATGACAAAAATAACAATTCTCTAAAATCTTTCACATTATTAAAAAACATCAATGTCACAAATGAACAAGAACAATTTCAATTAAAGGGTTCTTCAATCTACCTTACTTAAAAGTATGTGTCAATGGATCAAAGCATGTTAGCCTGTGTAAGTTTTATATTTTACACAAAGAAATGTCTCTTAAAATGGTTATCATTATATCTGTCTATTTTGGCTTCCACAGTTTGAGGCAGGACATTATAAATCAATAATTGCACAAGTGCCAATGTTCTGAGGTTTTGACATGTGATAATAAAAATGTATCTATTGCCTTCAGAGGGTATCTTTGAACCACATCCTTTCTGAAAGTCTTTCCTGTTCACCTTCAAGTCAGCTCAAAATCACAGCTGCATGAAAGCACATTGAATTTTTCTGAGGCGTAAATCAATATGCAACAGGAGGATAAAATGCCAACCCTTTTCTTTTCACATGTTCACAATGTTACAATGAACTGCTTCTCATCAAATTTGTCCCCTCAGCATAGACAATCATTTACTCAACCAGCAGAAGTACTACATTTAATTTATGTCCGAATAGCAGGGATTATGTCATTTCTCACATTAATTTTTGAACTAGGAACCTAAAACATCAGTAACAATTGACAAGGAACAATAGATTTTATCCCAGGTGAAAAAGGAAGCCATGGTATTAGTGTGCAGTAGTCCACATAAAAGCGGTTGGAAAGAAAGCTGCATATTTTAACATTAATATTAAAATACCTACTCTTTATATTATAACATGTGAGGAGTGATCAACCAATTAGCAAAGACTGAGAAACTGGAATATTAAATGTGATCATTCATACATCAGTTGTTCTTTGATTTATAATTTGAGAGCATCTAGTGCAATAAATCACCAAAAAAAAAACCTGGGGGGGAAACTATAGAAATCTGACATCTTTCATATTCTTGCAGTTTAGAATGCAAATCTTCTCTTTAATAAGGGTGTCATGTGATGTTGACATAAATAAATCATTTACACAAAGATGTTGCATATCAATGACTTGTTGAAAGAGGTTTCCCCTCTTTGTTCAGTTGTGGGGCCTGAACTCTGGGCCTGGGCACTGTCCCTCAGCTCTTCAGCTCAAGTCCAGCATTCTACCACTTGGGCTATAGCATCACTTCTGGCTTTTTCTGCTTATGTGGTGCTAAGGAATTGAACCCAGGACCTCATGCATGCTAGGCAAGTGCTCTACCACTGAGCCACCTTCCCAGCCCTGAAAGGGTTTCAATTTTTGACAAAGAAATAGAATGTTGAATTGGTCAGTCTTTACGATTATTAAACAGATACACCGAGGAACAGGCAATAATATAAAATAACATAAAAGTCCCTACTGCATCATGGGAACTGCTCAGACAATTTTTAACTTTTGAGGTAACCATCCTTCATCATCATTTCCTACCGAAGAAAGATGAGGCTCATGTTACATGATTAGTAACACAAGAATGGAGGGATTTTCCCAGCAGATGGGTTTTTCTTACAGGAAACCACTTCATTGCTGAAGATGCTGAAGACTTGACAGCTTCTGAACAAGGACTTCCCATGGGCAATATTAGGTTAAACATGGAATGAGCCATCATACTCCCCAGAAACTGGTTCATCTTCCTGTGCTCAGGATTTATAAAACACCAATTGGTTTGCTTAAACAACAGGAGTTTATTGCCTCACAGTTCTGGAGGCCAGAAGCCAAAGATCAGGATGGAGGCCAACTGGATCCCAGGGGAAATCTCTCTTCCTGGCTTGCAGACAACCAGCTTCTACCTAGGTCTCAAATGGCAGGCAGACACAGACTCACAGACAGGCAGACACAGCGAAAGAAAGAGGGAAAGAGAGAGGGGGAAAGAGGGAAAAGAGAGAAAAGGGAAGATAGGAGAAAAGAGAATGGGGTAGAGAGATGGAAAGAATATGAATGCATTCTTGATCTCAGGTATTTTCTCTGGAATCATTTCTTGTAAAGACACTAATCTAATCAAATCAGAGCCTACCCTAAAGACCTCCTTTTATCTTTAACTACCTTTCTGTAGGCACCATTTCTAAATATAGTCATATTGGTAGTTTGCTCTTAACCAATGGATTTCTGCCGAGAGAACATTCAGTCCAGAGTGGAGCCTAATAATATAATTCCTGTTTTTTAATATAAAATGTGTGCGAAGGGAAGAATAAAGTTACCTAGACTTTAATAAAAAAATAGCTTCCAAGGAATTGGGGAGGTGGGGAGGGAAGGGAAAACACTGCTGGATAGGAAATATACTCGTTACCTTACTTATGTAACTGTAGCTCCTCTGTACAGCACCATTACAAAAATATTAAAACAATGTAAGTGAAAAATAAAATTAAAAAATAGCTTTCAACAAATGCTTTTGTTTACAGAACAAACTCTACACCTTATTTTTTAGACTTCTCCTTAAGGTGAAGAAGAAAAATCAAGATAAATTTATTAAAATAAAAATGTCAAATCCTTTGTGAATAACTCTGGAACTACTGCAAGAGAGAGTCGGAGAAACATTAGAGCTTATAGGTATAGGCAGGAATTTCATGAATAGAGTCTCAGAGACACACAGATAGGTGAGATACTCGACAAGTGGGACTACATTGAAATAAAAAGTGCATAGCTAAGGACACTGTTAACAAACGAGAAAAAGAGCTAACCAACTGGGAAAAGATCTTTACCAGCAATACATCAGAAAAGGCATAATATCCAATATATATGAAAAGCTCAAGAAATTAACCTCTCCCAAACT